ATTAACTGAGAAACACGCTCCTCTTTAGCAAGATCATCATTCTCGCTTCTTTTTAAGTCATCTGTGGGCTTCTTCTCCGCATCCACCGCACCGGCAGAGTTTGGAGACTTAGAGTTAGCTACGGTTGACTGAGCTTTATCTGGAGAACCTATGAGAGGTAAAACCTTCTCCATTTTGAGCATCTTATTTCTAAGAACTTTTATCTCTTCATCCTTCATGTTGTTCTGCTTCTTCACTTCTTGCAAAATATCTTCCAATTTGTCTATATGCACCTTAAGGTCATCCACATCAGTGATGCCTTTTCCGTTGGCCATGACGTCTTCAATTTTCTCATCTCCAACTCCTACCGTATCCCAGACGTCGCGAGCAACAGCTCGCCACGATTCACGCTCGTTTGGATCTTTTTTCCCATACATGGCACAAAGCTCTTTCATTTTAACAATGGCCAGAGCCTCAATCTCCTGCCTAGTGTGCCTGAAGTCATTGAGCGCTACCTCATAGCATATCTCTTTCACAGCCTGAATCTTTAAGTCTGAGATGGTAACCCATTTGGAGTCTTTGCTAAGGCGTCGCCGTTGGGGTATCTGGTACATTTTAATTGGCTCTCGTTTCTTCCCACTGCTGGGGAGGCCACACTTTTTTACAATGGTTTGGAGCTTGCTGGGGGGCAGCTTCTCTCTCAGGGAAGTGATCAGTCTCCAACTCTCCTCACACGATCTCTTGTCCGAATCATCCCCACTATCAGAGTCTGCATCCTTTGGAAAAACAAAAATCAAGAAGTGGCCCCAAAATAACCAAAATTAAAATTGTAAGAAAATGGAAAAGCTAAACAAGAAGTAGCAGGCAAAGAAAACTAAATCAAAAATCAAAATAGAACAAGTGATAAGGAAGTCCCTGAAGACTGAGTGTTAGGACATTAAAATGTATCTTCAAGAGTCATGGACTGTCAAAGTCGGAGCTCTTCACTTAATTAAGACTAACATTATATTTAAAAATCTTGTCATCTCAAAATAGCAGGTAATCTAAACTCTTCCCTCCCAATTCCTTCCAAAATCTTTAAATAGATCAAGTAAAACCAAGTTCCTGATTAAAAAAAAATTAAAAACCAAGTGTAAACTGCACTTCACACATGCTACAAAGACATGCAAATCCCCGCCACACACATTTGCCTTGGTGACTGCTGCTGCTTCTTTCAGCAAATCCTCCCCAGGTAGGTGAACACAACAGCCATCATAGAAGATGTCACGAGCAGCCAGAGTAAGTTGGGTTAACACTGGTTAGTAACGTTGCACGTGGTTGCAGGGATGCTCAAGTTTAGAATCCACTTCACTACAACAGCAGCCAGAGAAGTGTTAGACGATAAGAAAAAATGAAACAGAAGCAGCCGAAAGGTTCAATGTTAAAAGGACTGTAAGTGCCACTATGACAGGTGAAGACAGTGGTTCATACTCCAAGACTTGCTACAAGCTAAAAGATATCCAGAATCAAAGTTTCAGAGGTGGGTTGTGGTTTGTTTGTTGTCTTTTTTTTTTCCCATTTGTCACCTTGTTGCTTAAAGGAAAGGAACATTAACAGTCTTGTCTGTCCGAAGTATGAGTTTCAGAAGAATGTAGCAGTAATAGCTTTTTCTTTTAAATTGTTTTAATAAGAATTCTCTATTTGATATCCTTGATTTATCCTCTTCTCAAACCCTAGAGCCTGGAGCTTCCACACACTTGCTAAGAGTTATGCGTGTTTTGCTTCTTCATTACAAGTTTTCCACCTTTTGCTAAATGACTTTTAATAAGCAGTGCTTCAGGTTTCCATATGCTAGGAATGTTTGTTCAGGTATTCTGCCACCAGAAGTTAAGGATATCCATCATTGCTTACTGCTACCAGGAATTAAAGTCAGACTCCTTTTCTTTAAAGGCTTACTAAATTAAGACATCTCTTTACCAAACAAAGAGTCCTAGGTATTCTTGTGATCCAAACATCTTCAATCAAACACAGCAGTCGGTCTCTAATGAACCTCTGTCTAACATCCCTATTTTTCACGTAGAGAATTACAATACATGAGAAATCAGGAATAAAAACAGCCAAAGGAAACCCAGGTCATTGACTCAGAACCACAGGTTCCCAGACTTAAGACTTCGGGTAGAAGACCACGAAGAATGGGGAATACAACATAATTTATTTCGGGAATGATGAGAGGGAGTGAAAGAAATCCTGTTCCGCCCTATGGTCAGCAAGCTCCATAGCCTACCATTCGCATTATTTGAGCTTCTTGTGACCTTATGTATTTTTAATATTTATGAATAGCACTAGAGAATCAACTTCTTTGAATTTAGGTCAAAATACAAGCAAAACACTAGTTTAGAAACACAACAAACTCTTTGTGAATTTACAGCCGACAAAATTTGTGGCCCAAGGAAACGGCATCTAAGAACCTGCGTATTGCAGTGGAAACAAAAGGTGCCCTGGCAGAAGACACTGTACAATCTGCACGTTCGAGGTTACATCCGGAAAGGCAAAACACGAACTACTCAAACATTAAGTCAAAAGTTCCACAGGATTATTCTTGTAGGTTACAAAATGACCATATTACTACTTATGGGTAAAGCATGTCTTGTGGAGAAAAAGCTGATTAAGAGACACTCCGTGGTCATTGTCCTGTGTGTGCTCAGGTTACCCAGCCCAATTAACAGAGGTATGTACCCACGTTCTAACAGCAAGTGGGCACTGCAAAGGTGTTATGACCAAGAAAACCAAGAGACCCACGTTCTAACAGCAAGTGGGCACTGCACAGGCGTTCTGACCAAGAAAACCAAGATAATTTTAGCTCTATTAAACACATTTTCACGTTCAATTTGTAAAATGGAGAACGATTATTTCTATTCCCCAGTACTACTAGCAAGGCAAATTATACATATTAGTTGTAAATTTGGGGGGATAAGAGCTATTTATCTTTTTTGTATAACACATCTAACAAAATACCCAAATTGGTTGGAATCTCAGCACAAAACCAAAACAATCTGGTAAAAGGATCAGCCAGCTTCTTATAGCCAACATTATACTCCAATTTAGAGCAAGAAGAGTATTTGTATTTCAGTATCAGTCTTACATAGCAGTAAATTAGAGAACCTGATATTGCAGCTGGATATGGCAGCAATGTAAATAGTTTGAAGGTACACAAGCTGAAATGCATTCCCAGATTTCCCAAGCACTATTCAGCTACTGCTGTGTGAATGCATTACTCCTGTCCGTTTCCACACTCTGCATGCGGTGACACAGAAATGATGAGATGCCTCAAGAAATTTAGTTGTCATCTGAAATACTTTCATTAAGTGTTGGGATAAGCAGGATACTGCTTAACAGACCATGACCTCATGTGATATGATGCCTTACTACTGGGAAAGGCGTCCTTCAGGAATTACATTGGGAATGCCTGTAGGATCGTCTTTCACCTTTGTCTACTAATTGAAACCAGCAAAACCAAAACAAGCTTGAAGAAATTAGCAGCTCTATTACAGTATTAAACAACCCACTATCTAAAAAACTTTCCCTTAATCTTAAGTATATGGGAGAACAAATTCCCTTCACCACACTTTTATAAATGCAACCTTATTTGAAGTAGCTCCCCAAGACAGCCAATTCTCATGTCTTTAATTCACACAATAGCTTGTGCCTGTCAGCTAAAATTGAAGGGAGGGAATTCCATTACTTGCATCTCCTTTGACACGTAGCCGAAACTTACATTACACTCAAACTATTTTTACTTTCATATTGAGCTGATTTTTGCTGTACTACTTCCAGCTACACAAATTTTAACTATGAAATTGCCAAGATGAGACATGCCATTAGTCACATTTAACTTCCTTTCTGAATTAAGTGTTGCTTTGACTCAAAGTCTGCAGCCACTCCTCTCCATCCAAGAAATTAGTCCCTTGTGATGACATAATTAGAGATGCAGAAGTCTTTAAGTGTATAATATAAATTTTAAAAAATGATGTAGCTTCTACCTATGGAAGCCACAGTACTTTGCTTCATTCTGGTTTTGGGAGAAGGGGAAGAGCTTTACAGTTTAAAACCCAGTATGCTTTTAACCTGCAGTTTTCAGTGGTCTCAAACTAATCCTACAAACAAATGAATCATGAATTCGAAACTCATTAGAATTCAGGCACAACTCCATTTGCATTCTGGCTAAAGGACAGGCCAATGTAGCTAAAGCAGAACCAGGAGACTCAGGTTTCTTAAGGAAATCTAGATTTCATTCCTGGGCTTGGTCTTGTTTTTAAAATTCACAGGGTGCTTGAAGACATTTCTATTTGTAATGTACTTCAGGAGGTATTTGTTGTAAGGCTGAAGACTCCCTGTATCAGACTTAATTTATCAGACTTCCTATTTAAGAAATAGGTGAAATAGTGGAATTCCCGTTGTTCGGAAGGAGTTAGCATTCCCTTCACACACTGCTCTCTACTCGTAACCCCACCACGGGTATGTGTACCATTAAGAGCCTTACAAGGAACTCCATGCAGGGGGAGGGAGAAGGGTTAAAACATGCACAATGCAGCAACATTTTCAGACATCATTCAAAAAAATAAACCTAGTGTATCAATGTTCTAGGAATCTCTTTGGCAGCACAAAATTAGTATGTTCTGGTGATCCAAGACAAAAATCAAGGCAAACATCCCAAGAAGTAGGTGTTTTAGACTACTAAAAAGGAACTTCAAAAAAAACACAGAGCATAGAAATGCCTTTTTTTTCAGGCTAAATTGCAAGAAATCCAACCTGTCCCAACAAGAACTGATTAGAGCCTCTTCATCGTCAATTAGACTTTCTGAATTAACAAGAAGGAGCTCACTCACACTGATAATAATTCACTGTAGACACCAAGTATTTGAAAGCAAAGGGAGAACTGCATTGTGCAGACAACCCAAGCAGGTTTTCTAAACTTTCAGATAAGCAAGGACAGGAATTACTGTTTGCCAAAGGTATAGTTAATCAGAAGGAAGGACACATACCAGCCTTTGCTGCTCCAACAAGAGATCAGCTTCCTCCTTCTCTTTCTTATACAAAATCTCCATTTCTTGTAATCTGAAGATGAACAAAACAACAGAAGTAGTCAAAGAAGTTGTCATTTTTACATTGGTGCTACTCTACACACAGCCCACTGAATTACAGTTACAAGAGCAAATGTCATTCCACTTAAAAAGAACTGTTATTTGTCTATTATAGTACTATAGAACCGAAGCTTCATGTAAGTTGCAGTTCAGTCCTTCACCAAAAGGTCTATGAGGTAGCAGCAGGTGCTTTAGGGGGATTTTAGGGGGATTTTTAAAGGAGCTAAAGCACTGAAACACGGATGTAAAATAGCGAGGAAGCTTTCTGAATGTCCACAATAGGTAGCAGAGATGCTACACGGCAGAACCTAGGGTTGGGTTTTGCACTGACACCACCTAAATAACATACAGCTGACTCCTCCCTGTTGGAAGTGGAAATTTGAAGTTATTTTGTTACCTTTTCTCCATCTCCTGCTTCATGTCAATGCCCTGCTTCTCCAGAAGCTCCCTCTGAGCAAACGTCCAGTCAACCGGCTCCGAGGGAGTCTCGGCTGATGGTGTTTTCTCTCTTTCTGCTCGTGCTTGCTCTGGATGGTTGAATCTGAAGACATGATTTTTACCCATGATGATACGATTTCCTAAAAATAGGATCAGAAGTTAACTCTTTCAGGTAAGGATTCCAAAACCATTGAAAAACATCACTGAATGATTCATCCCACCCCACATTGAAAAACATCACTGAATGATTCATCCCATTTATCCTGTTGGGTGACAGAATAAGAAAAGATTGCCCTGTCAGGATTTCTGTGTATGTTCAAGTTAACTAGGTGACAAGACAAAAAAAGAATTCCTGGTTTGTAGCAAAGCCAACACAACCCTCAGGGGTCCAATCTAATATCCCAGCAGAGTTTATCAAAAATCCAAGGACAAACTTGGAGACTGACCAACAGCTGCAGTAAATAAAACACACCACTAAAACCCATTCCTTTCCTCCAGTGACAGCACTCAAATATGGGCAAAAGCCACTTCAGCAGAATTTTCAGCTTGGAAAAGCCTAACTTCAAACACTGGGCTGCATGGGGCTTACTTTTCTTTAAAAATGTGGTTTACATATATTGATCTTATTGGAGTCCAAATCAGTGGGATTTATGGGAGGATTTTACAGCTTCTTTTAGACTACTGGCAAAAAGAGCTGAAGAAACAGAATACTGTTAAATCTTTCGGCTAAATCCTAGAGATATCAGATGTCTACAGAGCTGAGACACAGGCATGATGTAAGACAGAAAAATGCCTTTGCTCTTCCAGAGAATATATTAATCTACTTAAAATTTTGAAGCATTCTAGTAAACAGACCTCCCAAATAACCAAAATTGTCCTTATAAATATATTACTAAAATACAGACTCTTAAAGATGTTAGAGACCATGCCTATATTCTTCTAGTAACTCAATTATCTAGATGGAGAAGAAAAGGAAAAAACCTACTTTTTTTCTTTTAAAAGAAAGAAATTACTAAATAACAAAGTTGTGGCATTCAATATGAGCCATGTGCAGGCACAGAACAGCAAAAACTGTTCTTCTTTCATTGTCCAGACTTGTGCTGAAGTCAGTACACTCGGTTCCATGAAAATACTCACTTATCATTTGCTGCAAATAATTCAGAGGTGGGTTTTTTTTGTTGTTGTTGTTTTTTTTACCAGTAGAAAAATACAGGTATCATTTGCTGCAAATAATTCAGAGGTGGGGTTTTGTTGTTGTTGTTGTTTTTTACCAGTACAAAAATACAGAAAGGACAGAGAAAGCACCGTAACTTGAGAGAGATAGGTTAAAGCCCATAATTTAGGGAAGTCACTCCCTCCTCTCTTAATTCTTCCCCCACATGCCTTTCTAAAGGAATGTAGGGGACTGAGTGGGAAATCTAATGAGAGCAAAGAGACACTTGTACTCCTGCAGAGGGTCATATCTCAACTTTGCCAGGAAACTGGGAATTTTCCATCAGCAACTGGCAGTCTGTCTGCTCTGTTTCACTGACAATGCCAAGGGCAATAGGCTTGGGCAAGAACGTATTTGAATAATATCAGGGTAAGCGAAAGGACAAGCCACCACACAGCAGTGAATATTTAAGTACACTCACAGCTGGTGCAACAGAGAAAGAAAGAAAATGAACTGCTGCCAAGAGAAGAATGGTACCAGATTCTGTTTAAAGGCTACACTCCGAAAAGGTAACACTGCTGTCCTTTAACAGGACCCAGCACTCTCTGCCTATGCTCTAAATATCATGTATGGTCAATTCTTAGATGGAGAGTCCACAAAAAACCCATGTGTTTCTTACCTGAGCGCAGCTGCACAGGATGCACAACCCTCTTGCCATTAACATAGGTTTCTGATCGCTCACAAGGCTCCAAAGTAACAATAACTATAAAGAAAACAACATTGATAAATGAGACTTTAGGCAGCACTGTACAGAAACACAAGTGTGCAAAACCGAGAGGGCTCTCATTTTCTGCTTCTCTTCCTGCTAACACCAAAATAAGGTACAATGAATCACTCCTTGATGCCACACTGGTTAAAAAATAAATAAATAAATAGATTAAATAACTAAACTAAACTAAAATAATAAAGAGAAAATTAATACCTACTGACATCTCCACACATTGCAGTTGGAAATTATTACCATTTTTTCTGTTTGAATTTTCATGTTTATAGCTAACCAGGATTAGAACTTAACTTTTACACTGACTGCAGCCTGCAATTTGAAGCTATTACAACTTAAACCAATTTTATTTTCTTCCTGTAAGATTCAAGAAAACAGCGAGTCAAAGCTGATGGTTTTCTTGAGGTAAGAGACACTTGCAAATCCCAGTATTCCCTGGACAACTATCAAGTGAGGAGTAAAAGATTCAGCAATACTTTGCTAGGAAAAATAGGGGTTTTTACCTTCACCATTGTTGTTCCTCTCACTTCGAAAGATACAGTGTTCTTCTTTGATGTGAGCCCCACTCAATACAATGTCTTGCCTTCGCTCAGCATCAGCTTGGCCAACCCTGAGTCCAACAGAAGATACTTCATGAGCAAATCAGACACTTTCTACAAGGGAAATATCAGGCTTTCTTTTACTTCACAAATGTAGTAACAAGCTTCTTAAAAAGCCGAGGGACTGCATCTTACTTTTAAAGCACAAAATCAGCTTAAAAGAAAATGCATTTCTGTACTTTTTCCCACCTGCAGCAATCTCATGCTTCATTTGTAGCTGCAAGTTGAATAGCTCAAAGCACAACTATTATTTAAACTCAGGTTGTCTCCAGCATGGGGATTTAAGCAAGCAAAGGAGATTTCAGAGCATATTAGCACCAATGCTCACCTGGTAATACCATCTTTGATGTAGTAAAGCAGACATTCAGACATGAGTGGATCTTCATTAAGGTTTACAAGATGAGGAGTCTGAAAGAACAAAAAGAAAAGTTAATTAAGAACTGAGGATCTACTTTAAGGCTTCTTCCCACAGCTGCAGAGGATGTGTATCAATCCAGCAGTTTTGCTATGTATATCCAGCTTGTCCAATAACACATTTTTTCAAACATAACCTCTTGCAGTACCGAAGGGCAGCCCAAAGTACCAGCAGAAATGCAGCTCAGATTGCTTAGTTATCTGAAATATCAACCAATAGAGGGATAAAGGCTTCAGCTGGGGAAGAAAAAAAAAAAAAAAAAAAGAAAAGATTCCTTGTAAATTCTCTGTAAACTTTGATACGGGAAGTCCAACAGCAGAAAGGGTTGCTTTAGTAAAATTCTGAAACTGATGCACGATCAACTTTGGCTTTTCTTCAGCAATACAGATCAGGTGCTCATTAGGCAAACTCTGTTAAAATCAAAAGAAATTCTAAAAATCTAAAACTACCAACATTCTCTGATACTAACAGCTAAAAAGCTCTTCATCTAAAGTTCTTCTAAATTGAAATCCACTACGGTTACTAAACCAACCTTCTTTGGTGAAAAAACCCCATTGGAATCAGCAAACAAGTCACAAGGCCTTGGTGTGAAAATCTAGCCCGTGAGATAGCAGTAAGCACAATGACAAAAGAAAAGGCAAAAATGGTTAAACAGAATTAAAGAAGAAAGATGATAAAAAAGGAACAGAACTGTTCATAAGCCACTTGTCCTTTCATTACTCTTTTAGCAAAAGGAAATAAATTTGGCTAAGATTCCTTGGGAACATCACTTCCATCAACTTAATCCAGCTGCAATGAAGTTTACTTAGGAGAGATGTTAACAGCACTCAGTTTATGGAAGCTCAAAAATTACTGGATGTTCACAATGAAATTTGACTTTGAATGAAGAAGTCTGATTGTCAATTGTCCAATGGAAGACATTACTACAAAGACAGAAAGGGGGAATTCACCCCTAAAAATATAGGGCCACCTAAAACCACAGCTGAAGATGTCCCATGCCATCATCGCTATTCACTGCATTCAAATCAACGTTTGGAGCTGTATAAAGCTCTTAAATCAAGAGAAAACTGGAGAGAAAGCAAATCCCAGTCAAGTGCTGTAACACCACTACGACTTGTAGCGTTTGGGCACTTTGAAAATACTGCTGTACCCACACATACGTGTTTTAGCACCTGGGTTCCTTTGCTACACTAAATCAAAGTCTGAATGGGTCTTTCACAGGCAACAAAGAGCTTTTTAAGAAATAAAGCTCAACAACTTGAAAGATGATGTTGGCAAAACTGAGTATTTTTCTCATTCTGAGATGCATATTCATCCACAGTCAGTGATGTCTCCAGCTTTCTCCTGTACAGCATTGCTCAAGCTGGAGCTGAAGGATTTTCCCTGCTCCCATCTTTGACTATAGCACAAGCAATTCAATTTCCACAATCCATTTCAAAAAGTTTCCTGCCATTCAAGGCAAAACTGGTAGAAACAGCAATGATTGGTCCATTTCAAAAAGTTTCCTGCCATTCAAGGAGGCAGGAAAAAAAAACAAAACTGGTAGAAACAGCAATGATTGCACAATGTGATACCTTTTAATTCATGAAGGGGGAAAAATTTACCTTAGAGAGTTCAATTTACAGCTCAGCTGGTAAAAACACAGTGCTGTCCTAGTAACACATGATTAGATACATACTGGTACCTCAAAAGTGTAAAGTCTTTATAAAAAAAACTTCAAATTTGCTATCTACATCTCCTAATTTTTCACAATAGCAACCACAGTTACTAAAAGGAGAACTAATGAAACTGGAGTGCAGGGATAGCAAGGACCAGAAGCAGCCGGGACTAGGTCAGGAGTTTTACTTTTCCTAATAAATCCTACAAGGGAAAAATAAATACTATCTATTACCAAAGCAACTACTTAATCCAGATGGCATTTATCCACAAACCTGATCAGCTGAAAATGCACCAAAAGAGTCATCAAAAAGAGCTGTGGGCCTCTGAGGGAAAATCTAAAAGATGAGGATCCATAACATAAGAGAAAGAAACGTAAAGAACTCAGCGAATTAGCGTCTTTACAAGCCTTGGGCACTTCTGGAGTAGAAGTAAACCGGAATTCTACCTACTTCAAGTATAACAGTCTAACACTACTTTAGGCAAAAGACTAAACATTTTAACCAATTCTGCTGTGCTATATTTCTGGGCAATGCCTCTAGATAGGTTTAACCTTAGATCAAGTTTTTTTACACACTTGCACGTGCTATATTTCTGGGCAATGCCTCTAGATAGTTTTAACCTTAGATCAAGTTTTTTTTTTTACACACTTGCACCTGCAAGTTTCAGGCTAAAATATCACACTGTGCTTTTTGTTCAAATCTTAGAGATACAAGAAAGTATGTTCTTTTCCTCGTACTTCTTCAATAATTCTGCTTTCACTGCATAGATAGCTTCTTTACTAACTTGATCATTTTATATTTATAGCACTTTTCCTGCACAGTTCTGCGTCTTTCAAATTACAGAAAACAGAACTATTGATATGTACTGAAAGAAACATTCCCCTGCATTCCTTATGTTCAGTGGTTCATTAGATTATAATCCCTTTTCCCAAAGGCAAAAAGGATTAACAAACAAATTTAAGGAAGAGCACCTGAACAAACTTTTCTGGGTATTTCAAAGAAGAATAGGTAGAATACGTGAAGGCCACGCACAGCTACTGCAGAAAATAATCTAAAAGGCAGCATCTCTGAGTTGCTACCAAAGCAACAGATACTGAAGGAGCTGCACACACTTTTATTTGCAGCAAAAGTTTTTCTAAAGGAAATTTCAACCATTTTTTGATATTGGAAGTCTCCCCATGAACTTTACACACTGTTCCTATTTCATCATCATATTTGGCTAGCACATGCTTCCCTACTTTCACAACCAATGGAAGCTACCACAGAAGACTTCTTTCCACAGCTCCCTAAAAACATTAATACTATATTGCATCACTTGCATGAGGAGCAACGTCCAACTTCATTATTAGGGGCAAAATAATCCTTAAACATAGAGTGTTTTGACAGATTCTAACACTAAAGCTATTTCCAAAAAGATATCATAAAAGAAACATACTAAAGGGTCCTGCCCTCACTTGTGTTCTTCTGTATCTTACACAAATACAAGCCCTTGTGTGACTGGTACCTCTCTCATCACCCTCTCTTGCCACGTTGATGAGCCTTTTGGAGACAGGATGCAGTAGTTATCAATTACCCTACCTTTTTAGGTGAGAAGACTCCCAGTGTTCCTCCATCTTCCCGAATGGCAACTCCCATTTCTGCCAACAATGCCTCCCTGAGAGAAAAAGCAAGATATTTACCACATTTTAGGCTTCTTATACAAAATAAAGTCAAATGAAAGCCATGCAATTACATACTTTCAAGACTTCCAACCAGCCTATCTGCTAACCAGCCAGCCAGGACCGTCACCACCTCGTAACTCAATAGGACAACTTTCTAAACTTTACTCCTGGAGTTTATATATTTTATAAGCTTTTAATACTTTAATAAGTAATGCTCTGTTTGGTTGCACCCAAATTTCTAGCAATTATTAAGCTTCTAAGACACAATTCCAACCAACGCTAGAAAACCTGGAGCTGCTTCATAATTTTAGATACTTCGATGCTAAGAACTTAATCTTTTCTGCTTAACTTTAGGGCCAGAATTGTGGGAATGTAAGATAATGGTGGAAGGGGAAGAAAGAGACCAGGAACTCCCCAGTGCCTCACAGCAAAGCCAATGCTGCAGCTTAGGACATTACCCGAATGACGATGGTAAACGCTTTAACTGCAGGAAACACTGGAAAGAATATGGCTTTCTCTCAGCATTACCCCTACTGCTATGTATAACACAAAGGTCAGCAGAACTATCACTGAGCACTATTCTGCTGTTCCATTGCTTTTGAATAGAGTAACATTCTCTATTTTCCACACTTCACCATTTTTTAGATACCATCCACATCTACAGCACTTCCGATTCCTGACCTTTCCATCCTAATGGCCTCGGTTTTCCTCAGCTTCTCTTCCCATGTTTCATTCAGCTCTGCAATGATCTTCTCAGATTCCTGTGTGAAAAGCCCAGAAGCTGTTTTACAATTCTTCTCAAAGCTCATTACATAATACACAAAGCAATTAAAGTTTGTGCTCTGTTCTAGACCTCAAATTAATTTTGGATATAAAAAGTACCCTCAGCACTTCAAAACTCTAAGTCATCTTTCTTAATTTTTAAAAGGGTAAATAGCCCTGAAGGCAAGCTGGGAAGAAAAGATGACTTCATATCTAACCACAGTCAGACTTTAATTTGAACCACCTAATTTTATTTTATTTTTTTTTAAATCTGATTTACAGACATCATTCAGTAACTGGATGCCAAGGAACTGCAGAGACCACACTGTCATTTCCATGGCAACAGCAGGTTTCCAATAGGAAAGGGATATGCAGTGTGTTTTCCAGCCCATTCCAGTCCCTGTGGCAGCGTCTCATGGACAAGACATGAGAATGAAGCATAGATTCAACACAGCCAGCTCTCCCCACTCATCCACCCATGGAGATTGGGGGGGGACTTTCATAAAAATTAAGAAATACTTCACTGTAATGCACTTTTGATGCGGTTCAATTCTATGCAGAATTGGGACAAGGCCGCTATTGTCTGGATAAAGCATGCTTTTCTGTGTGCTTCACATTTTAATCTGTGGGGGCTGGGCGAACACAACAGTGGCAGGATTATTCTTCCTCCTTTTTTCAACTTTAGGGTAATTTGGTTTTCTGAAAGCCGAGTGCATTTGCTAGTCAGACTTTGTCCAAACTAGTGCTGACCAGGCCTCCTGAAGTCTATATTTATGATCAAATTTTCCATAATTACCACTGCACCAGAGGACCTGTAAACAAGAACTGAGATTTTCATTTATAATTTAGTTGTAGCTCCAGGCTACAATTAAACCTAAGTAATCCTTACAGGAAAGGTTGTGCACGAACCCAGTTTCTAACCCATCGTGTTCTTTTTGAGGTGCAAGTGGGTTTCAGACACGTTCCTACAGAAACAGTAGCACACTAGATAAAATTATGAAGGATAAGTTCTCCTGGGTTTATTGCTATTTAGCCTTGGGAAAGACCAAAATAAAAGCCACCTTAATCTACAACAATACCTACCTTTAGACGTTCGATTGCCTCTTCTCCTCCAGGTGTTGACATGATTCTTTCCTGTATACTGGACACAGAGTTTAAGCCCACCTGACTACTGAGAGAGCAGGAGGACGGAGATGCCGTGAGGGACCCCATGGAGGCTGTGGAAAAATTGCCAGGACGTTGATTCTCGGAGGCTAGCAAGTATCTATGCTTATTGTTCTGAAAATCTTTCAAATCTGGGAGAGAGACACACAGACAGAGGGAAGGCAGAGAGACGGGAAATAGGAAAACAGGAAGAGGGAAGGAAGAGGAAAAAGGAAAGGAAGGAAATACCAGTGTAAGAGGAAAGCATTTAAGCAGCAACAAGACAAGTTTTGTAATTTTTAGATGGTAGTTCTGAAACAAATTTTTAGCATCCATAACGTAAAGATAACGGAGTTCGGACCCTGAGGATTATTAGTAAGGACTGCATCATAAACCATTTGATCCAAAAAGCTTGAAAAAATAAATTACACACTTGCCAAAAAATCAGCCACCCTATTCCTAACTGAACACTAAACTGAGCACCACGGGGCTCAGACCAGGGGCAGATTCAGTTCCTCATGAATTTAGTACCATTTCGGGCTGAAGTCTGAATAGACACCAACCCCCCAACTCAGCAAAATGTTCTCTTCTAGACACCTTTAATCTAAAACAACTATTAAGTAAATCCTTATCACAGCAGTGGTTCTGCTGCTGAACCACCCCGACCTCAAGGACAAAGAACTACCTCTCCTTAAATTCTCATGGGAGAGTGTGTAAATGTCCCGTCAGGCCGTGACAGGGAGGAGAGAACACAAATTCCCAACAACATCATTCTGTTACTCCTTGACCCCCCTTTTCTGAAAAATTGAAATCTAAGATACCTGCTCAGTGAAATATCTGATAAGGCTCTCATACTTCAGAAGAGGCTTTAAAGCTTTTTGGTCTCAGTTTAGATGAGGAAGGCCCAAAAAATAACCAAAATTTAAAGAGACAGCTTTTGTAGCCTTAGAATCTAAAGGCCTGAAAGATGCCTCTTTGAAAGACAGAAAACAAGGAAAAGGTACATGAATGATTTAAGAACCAGTATCCAAAGGCAGTTTATTTTAATCTAACTTAGCTTCTCAGATATGTCTGTAAACCATATCCTCAGAATAATCACACAAAAAATCCCCATGGAATATCAGACAACTAAATAGCTCAGTTCTAATAATTTTGATAGTTTTTAAATCTATTTAAAAAAAAATACTTTAAATTAAGTATCCTTCAGAAATAAACAGGTCAAATCAGACCTCCCAAGTTATAAACAAGGGCCTCATGCTTACAAAAGTGAGATCCTCGCCCAGACATTGCATAAATTTCCATGTCCTCCTACATCTCCTCTACTCTCCCCCCGAACAATTCTGCTATTGTCAGCCTCGTGCCCTAGTTCACTCCACATTGAACCTGCTCTTTCAGCCTCAGGAAACCAATGATTGCATCAAGTCAGTTTGAAAACCACCATCTGCAAATCCGGGGAAGCAGGGGTGGGAATTTTAATAGAAGAAAAGCAGGTTAAGGCAAGGGAATGCCATCGGGATGAGGAAAGCAGGCATGGCAGAGCAGGGAGGATGAAGTCTCGAAAGGCCCACAGACGCATGCACTCCTGAAGATAAAGGACGTGGCGCTCGCAACAGCTGTCAGAACCGCCGTAACCACGGAGAACCAAGCCCTGGCCATCATGCACACTGCTCCTGGAGCCTGCAGCTGTCACACGGATGAGATATGCACGCGCTGGAAGCAGCATCAGACCGTCAGACAAGGCCAGGATGAGTCTTTACACCACCAGTAGCTTTAGTCTTAGGAAATTTCAGACAGATCTATTCCAGCTGACATTGTTTGAGTGGGGGTGAAGACGACTGACTGAAAGAGTTTAAAAAGTCCACCAACCCAAAATTGACATAGAATACTCTTCTCTTGCAATGGACTACATATTTCCTTTTCATAGAAGCAAACAGTAGAACAGAAATAAAATGCTATTTGCTGACTGCTTTTATCCCTATTAAGTTAATCATCTGCAACCAAGGATTTGAGCTCAAATAAGAGACCTTCATCAGTATAAGATATCCAAGTTTGTTTGTTTCCTTTAAAAGAGACTATACAAAATAAATAAATCTAAGTCTCCAGGAGGATCTGATAACATTTCATCTAGAGTTAAACAACTGGCGCATTTAAAAGGAATACTTCTAGGTGGAAGAGATGTTAAAAGGCAAGGAAGGTAGTTGAGCAGAAGCTCTTTCAACTGAATAACTTGAAAAAGATTACAGAAAAAGTATTTCTGTTTTGAATCTAAACTGCTGGCTGCTATGAAACAGACTTAAGAATCACTACTCTCCCTTCTATATTCTGCCAGAAAAAAAGCAATGAACAGATGTTACATTTTAAACTTTCCATTTTTTTGTTGACTGTGCACTCAATCTAAGAAGCACTAGTTAAGCTGGTTTCCGTCAAACTGCACTGCCTCCCCAGTGAGTGTTCTGTCTGGGATTTCCCTGTGAGAAATGCTGGCATGCAAAGCTCAGTTAAAAGCTGACCCAGAGAAAGCAGGTTAAAAAGAGAACCACACAATACACACATTTGCCTCCACTTCCAGAGTATTCATCTCCCATTGGATCAACTGAAAGGAAGCAGGAGGGAAAATACAAGAAGGATCAAAATTGAAGGTTCACCAGTGACACAGGAAGGGAATAGAATACTACTTGATGTTTAAAGAAACAAAACACAATTTTCAGTAACACGTTGTCTTCAGTTTTGATTTAGAAGCAAAAAATACAGACTGTACCAAGCATAAAAACACCTGCATTTCATTGTCTTCTGGCCCCATTCTCTTAAAACAAGCAAACAAAAAGATAAATACATGATACACATCTTTGAAAGCAGTCTGTGACTAAGCCAGGACTTCTGCTTCACAGGCAAATAAGCTCTGACAAATCAGAAGCTGGTGCAACATTCACTTTTTTTTAGGTCAAAGAATCTTTTAATCCACTGGAATACACTCTGTTTTTATGGGCATCTCCATCACTAGGAATTAAATCACTGTTCATATTACAGAAGAATGTAGCAGCTAGAATAGTAGTTTACTTGCCTTGTTTGGAATGAGGATAAGGAAATAATTCAGGCACAAGTGTGTTCTGGTGCTTTAAGAGGTTGTTGGCAAAGTAAATCAGCCCAATACAGCTCTGCCAACCTAACTCAAAATCTCGGCCCAAAAGAATTCATTATTTATTCACAAGCAGCTGTTTCATAGCTTGTTATTTTGAGATGACAAATGGTTTGTCACTCAGGGCATTGTCTAACAGGAACTAGTCAGCGTTTTCTTTTCTCAGCAAGGATGGCATTGAAGCCAGGTATCAACTAATCACCTTAACCCTTTAAGGGTTTCTTTCTCAGTATGAAATTAAGTTTCTATATCCCAGCTCTCCTCCTTTTATTGGCAACCAGACAAAACGTCCTCCATAACTCACCAGGGCAACTCCTGAATGTAAGTTCTATTACATAAAATCACTTCTACAGTAACAGGAAACTCAACTTCCATGTTCTTCCTTGAGAGTTTGAAGGTGGCCTGTCAACACTACAGACAATCCTAGGATGGGTTGCTTAAAGACAGAAGAGGTTATCACATCTAAAACCACGATCAGAAATCATATCAGCACCTACGCTTAACTTCCACACTTTAAACCCCTTTCTCTCACAGGCCTGGCTCTCCCTCCTCTGCAAGAGTGGCCAACCTGAAGATGTTAAGGTCTCTTTAATCCACTTACTGTCAATAATATCTCCCAGCCCTTGGGCACGCAGGAGATCCTTAAGCCTTGTCACCTCCTCCTTCAGCTCACGCACCAGCTTGGCGTTGGGATCTTCGTTGATAACAGCATTGCATTTAATCTGTTTTGCACGATCAGCGTATCTGCAACCAGACCAAAACAATGAAACCTTACAATGAACACAGAAGTGCTCATATGCAACACAGGAATGCAGCAGTACAGGAGACAATTAGCTTGCAGCTCTATGTCAGGAGAGACTCCTGGATTATATCCAACCATGCATTTGAATTCGTATTTAATACAAGATATTGCTGCAAAAAAGACAAGTCCTATTCAAGATTGATTAACAATATGTACAATAGACAACATGTTTTTTACTGTATTCAGTGCTTTGAAGTCTCAGTGTGACTAATATGCTCAGCTGTAGGGACCACACTGGAAAAGAACATATGAATACAAGAAGATGAGTTTGCTTTTTCAAATTAAAAGTAGGCAGTAAATCCCTAGCTCCCTATTCACATACAATACATCCATTTTCCTCTTTCAGGGTAATTGAGTTCTTGCCAGTATAAAGTCTTCTTCCCCACAGATTTTCCTCAAAGTATAACAACCCAAAGGTATGAAAGCGGCCATTAGAGCTAACAGCTACCCATACCCATCTCAGATAAAAAGAAAGTACCTTAAAGTGCTCAAAGTTTCATCATAGTTTATGTCTGCTGGACTCAAAGCAGCAACCATCGCAGTTCTGGAGTTACCACCTATAACAAACAGGCAAGGTTTCAGATGAAACTACAGTGCCCGATCTAGACACTAGTTACCTACTAAATATCAGCATTTTCAATAAATTATAGAATTCAACTGTATTCTACATTACTAAGGAACATAGAAAAATCATAGGAAAAAGAATTATAACTTAAACAAAAGGTGGAACCGTATGACTCAGATTAGACTACTAAAGATATCTAACCTCATACTTGATACAAATTTAAGTGAGTTAAAAGTCATCAGAAAATTCAGCAAGAATCAATCAAAAGGCCATACCTAGATTTTCTCGAAGAAGCCATGTTAGTACAGAATCCCTGTACGGTATGAAGTCTGTCTTCTTCTTTTTTTTACTCTACAAAGAAAGAAGACAATACTGAAAAATAGACACCAAATCGAAAATTAACATTTAAGACATAAAAATCATAGTATAACTATTAAAAGAACCATGACAGCATATCCATATGCTATCTAAACAGAAGAGAGACCCATCTTCAGTTGTACAAGGGATTAATGAGTTTGATAAAAGATCCCTGCTCTTTGATTCCAAAGTGAAGAGAATAAAATCTTACACTCAGGCAAAAAATACAACATTCACATCTATTCAGACCATCGTACCTTGCTGGTGCAGTTATCCTAAGTTGAAAGCATTAAAGAAAGAGGAAGAAGATACAAGATAAGCTTTTTAACAGAGCTTCATATATAATTTCCATGTTAGCTTGGATAGTATTCTCCTTTCTTGAAAAGCCCAGTGAATGAGAATAGTTATCATTAAAAAAAAAAAAATATCTAAAAAGCACTTAAGTATATTCAACCTGTCCAGACTGTTGAGAACTCATTTTTAAAAGGAACAGCAATAATTTATTGTGTTTTGGTTATTTAAAAGAAAAAAAAAAGTAGTTGAGTATAAAAGACAAAGTATTTTTCTAAACCTACAATATTATGTTTGGATCAACGCTGACTCAACACATTAAGTCTTGCCATTGCAAAAAAAGCCAGTGATAATCAAATTATTACACTGGTATTTCTTATATTTTTAACAACAAAGCTGCAGTTAGTTTTCTAAAATTATTCTTTCAAATAAAAGTACTGCTCTGCAGAACTAAACACTTGCTACATGAATATGTCTTCTCCACAAACACAGGCTGCTTCTGCAAGGGCTCTTCTCAGCTAAATAAGCCAATGCTTCGCTCTATTGACAAATAAACTTTCTACCAGCCTTTATGACATTCATAGAACTCCATCAACACTATTCACCTGCCAAAATACACCCAGGGAATCTGGCTGAGAATGCCAGGCCAGGAGCAGCGAATGATTCGCTCTACTCCATGGTTTTTAGTGCCTCAGTTTTACCAGCTATGGGAAGGTTGCTGTAGGTAAGTAAATGCTGTACTTACCACTTCAGCCAATGCTGAAATCACTTTGCCCAGAGTTGTGAGAGACTTGTTTATATTTGCTCCTTCCTGAGAAAACAGAATCCAGCAATATATAGTAAGTAAAATTGTTCAACCATGAACCTCTGTAGACTTGGGGGGGAAGTCTTCAGTTTTGCAACTATTTTTTCCATACATACGAGAGCAATCCTTTCTTTTCCTTATTATTTGTCAAGCAAAGACATCACATGATGCTTGTGCACCCACTTCCCTTTCTTTCCCCACACATCAACGGCCCAATACCTTTAGTCGGGTTCCTTTGGCACCAGTTGAATCAGCTCGCTCACTCCCAGCCAGATCCACAAGGCTAATCTTGCTGACCTGAAGAGAGAACACACATTAACAATGAGAATTAGTTCATGGTGAACTAGAGTAAGAGCAAAACTTCAATGAATTCTATGGCATGAAAATTCTACTGTCTAAAAAAATCACTGGAGTGTGCTTAAAACGACAGTCAAAGCTTTCACAAGCAATTAGCTTGATGCTGTTGTCTTATGGATAGAAGTGTCGGAGATGATGCTCTCAAACAAAATCCCACAAGAAATAAAAGTGATCTGTCATGGAATACAGCGAGTTCACCCTTAAAAAAAAAAAAAAAAAATTCTCATTTTCCCATAATACTGCCAATAAGAGTTAAGTCACTGCAGGGAAGACTTGTGACAAACAGTCAGAAAGCCACTTATCTGTAACATACCTTCTCTGTGGAAAGATTGGTTTCTGTGTCATGTTTTTTCTGAGTGAAGACAATTGTAAACACAGCATGGGAGCGGCTGCTGGTTTCGTTCATGTTGGTAGCTGCCACAGTCCTGCAACAGGAACAGATAGAGGCGTGTTCAGAAAACAGTAGCCTCTGAGCTGCAAGTCCAACCAGCCGCAGGGCTGAACCCAGCTGTAGAGGAACGAGACCAAGAGGCCACAGAGTTGATGTTCTGCCCTGTAACCAAGACTGAGCCTCACCGAATACCATTAACAAACCCTTTGATTTTCCACTCCTGAATTACTCCCCTCTTCATCGTGGTTTAAACAGAGCCTCCTCAATCAGTGCACTCAATAATCTGCCTTACACTCAAACACCCAAGATAACACAAGCGGCATTTATGTCAGCCTTTCCCACACGTTGTTAAACGGAGCCTACAGCTGACATGAAAACAACTACTAATGAACCAGAACCTCAAGCTAGAAGCCAACTTCAGTCCTGACCACTTGAATGAATGACAGATTGTGTTCACATGTTTATTTATACCCATATAGTGATACAGCACTCAAGGAAGGCAGAACTAAAAGCCAGTATAATTATTTACATACTTTATCTCAAGGCTTTACCAGGTTTAAATACCTACACAGCATTTTGCAGCACTATTTCAGCACATAAATCAATTTCAGCCTTTTAATAGCATTCATCATTGTATATTTCAGCAATAATCCCCATGTGACATGAGTTTTTTTTTAAAAGTGCTACTGCATCACAGAAGGTATTTTAGATTTGCTGCTATATAACCCTACAGAGAGAAAAATATGTGAAGTGCTACCATCCTTTACCTGGCTTTGTTCCCAGCATCCATGAGGTCTGCAATGTCTGTGTAGGAGGTGACCGCTAACTTGGACAGATCTTCCACGTATGGTCCGAGCAGAGGATGTTCTCGAACCCGCAAATTCCCTTTGTTCTTCGGGTTCAACAAGTCTCTGACTCTCTCACAGTAAATCTCCATGTAACTCACCTGAAAACAGGAATTTGCACGGACAATTTAGTGTTTCTTAAGACTTCCTCTGCAAGCAGCTCTGCAGCATTTCAGGGTGCCACTGCATGACTGCATGACTAAGCTACTCTAAACAGGTCCCGTAGAGAAATAGGGTATAAATTATGACTACAGTAATGGACAAGAAACTTCCACCCAGTAGTTAAAAAAAAAAAAGAAGATATATGTAAACGCATCTTTAGGTTTTTCAGCCCATCATTTCTTTCAGAATTGCTAGACAAGTAAAGGTATGTTAATTTTCTGGTGGGGGAAAAAGAAGTCCCAGAAAGGTTCTATTTACATTTGCCTCAAACATGAAACAGAAAAGACAAAAAGTTTTAAAAAAATTAAATAAAAAAACCTGCATCTTAATGCCACATCAATTACTTATCGATTACAGCATCTAAGGTCAGACTGATATCCAGCACATAAATATTCTTTGGTCCCTCACCATACTCACCTCTACAGAATATGACATTTCTTCATTGCTGTTGTCATTGATTTTCTCAAACAGTTCTTCACAGAGCTGGAAAGAGGTTAAACCTCAGTCAGAAATTAGTCTTCACTGAGTAGTAACAAGTAACTACTACGACATGTCATAAAATTGCCTTCAGAGTAAGGGCAGAGGAAGAAAAAGCACCTACTACATCAACCACATACAGCCTCGCTGGGAAGACACTTTATCCCAATTCCACATCACTATCAATCAACCTTATTTTGTACAGTATCTCAGCAAGTGTTCTAGGTTTAACCAATATTCTTATTCTGTACTATGAAATTAGAAAAAGCCTATAATAACTGAATTTGGAAGTAATTTTAGAAAGGAATTATTAAAATCCTTAATCCTCTCCTAGTCTGACAAAAACAATAGTCTCTTTATTCAGAGTGCTTAAGTTCCAGGATCCAGGTTTCAATCAAGAGGCAGGTATTATTTCAAAGTTTGTTAGCAGTATCCTTTCACTAAGGGTACTTAAACTATCAGCAGGCTACTGCTTCAAGGGTGCTTGTCTACAAATAACTGAGAGGCCTAAAATTAAGATAATAAAGGAAGAAGAAATGAACAGTGAGTAAGCCATGGATATGTATTTGGAGATTAAGAAACTATGGCTACAGAGAGGAACAGGAGTAGAAAGAGGTTTCTGGAACAGACATCTACATGCAGCTGTACAGAAAATAAATAGATGATGAAGAATACAGGGAACTTTGAAGTATACACTCTGAAGTATTCAGTCAACACATGGTTAAAGTATCATAAAGTTTCACACTCAGGACTGGCAGACAGGGAATTTAGCCAACAAGAAAGAATTTAATGTCAACAACCTACATTACTTGGAACCTGGTCGTGCTGTTCCCTTCTGCGTATGTGACAAGAAAGAGAACATTCAACAAGGTCTCCCTGAGCACGTAATTCATTTTGTACCTTTATGAGGCAGCCTCCCAGGGAAATTGGAGAGAAATCATTTTGTTTTAAAATGGTAGTAGATAAAAGGAGCATTGTTAAAACTACAGCAGCATTATTAAATTGGGTTTTTTTAAAACAAAGTTTAATTTAGATATATTTGAGGTTTCAGAAAGAACAAATAGGAATATCAAGATTACAACAAAAAAATTTAGCATAGAATCACAGAATCATTCAGGTTGGAAAAGACCCCTGGGATCATCGAGTCCAACCATCAACCCCACTCTATGAAGTTCTCCCCTATCCATATCCCCCAACACCACATCTAAACGACCCTTAAACACATCCAGGGATGGGGACTCAACCCCCTCCCTGGGCAGCCTATTCCAGGGTCTGACCACTCTTTCTGTGAAGAACTTTTTCCTAATGTCCAGTCTAATCCTACTCTGTTACAGCTTGAAGCCATTCCCTCTTGTTCTATCACTAATTACCTGTGAGAAGAGACCAGCCCCAACCTCTCTACAGTGTCCTTTCAAGTAGTTGTAGAGAGTGATGAGGTCTCCTCTCAGCCTCCTCTTCCTCAAACTAAACAGTCCCAGCTCCTTCAATTGCTCTTCATAAGATTTATTCTAGAGGCCCTTCACCAGCTTCATTGCCCTCCTCTGCACTTGCTCCAGCATGAAAGTGTTGTCATGGATTTTCAGCTCATTTCACCTCTTACAGTCACTTTACATTACTCTCTTAAAAGCAAAATACTTATATATATATATAAGTGACAATTCTGTCCTTCATCACATTAGATCTTTCAACATAAAGTGTAAAGTGTAAAACATGTAAAGTGTATAGTACAATTAAAAAAAAAAAGGTAACACAGGGAAAATAATGTGGCTTTTCCCCGAGTGCATTTCTCTCACTTGAGAAGTAAGCTGTGATTCTCTGTTAACTGCTATTGCCATATAAAATGAGCGTATCAGCAAGCGTGTGTCCAAATAGGATATAAAAACCAAATTCCTTTTCTGGGTTCTGCTCTACCTGGGGGATTATGCCTGCTTGGCTCTCCTCCTGCTTGCCCATCATGGTGTAGGATTTCCCAGCTCCAGTTTGTCCATAGGCAAAAATGCATACATTGTAGCCCTCAAAGGCATGCAGCAACATCTCCTTCCCAATATCATTGTACACCCGGCTCTGAGACGCAAAGCAGGGATCTTCAGGCTGAAAAGACATGAAGACAGAATAAATAGAGTCTTATCCTATCATTCAAGTAACATTTCAAAAAGCAGCAGGGCTTTTTTTCTACTTCTGTTTTCTGGAGCAATCCCTTTGGAAGAGGCAAACATAGCACTTTTTTTTTTTTTTTTAAACACACAGCTTTTTCCCCAGGCAGCACCCACTGGAGAAGAACAGCAAGGACAGCCCTTGCAGGGCCACTGCTGCTGCTGAGGAAACAGCCTCCACGAAGAATCCAGCCAACTCTGTGTTGTGAACTTCTTTTTTTTTTTTTTTAAACACACAGCTTTTTCCCCAGGCAGCACCCACTGGAGAAGAACAGCAAGGACAGCCCTTGCAGGGCCACTGCTGCTGCTGAGGAAACAGCCTCCACGAAGAATCCAGCCCACTCTGTGTTGTGAACTTCATTTCACTAATGGGAGAGTTTTGCAAAAGATCACTCACAAATGAGATTCAGGGTATTTGGGAGGAGGGAAGTGAGGGGAGAAAAATCAAAAGCAGAGTTCAAAAAGTCAGTACAAATGAATAGAAGACTGTCAGCTACAAAAACATCATCAAAATAATCTTGTTGGCCACACATTTGTTCAGAAATATTCAGCCTTATTTTCATCAGCCAAGTTACTAAAATTAACCTCAGAGAAAAGCATTATCCCTTTTTTTTTTCCCCTATATCTTTTGAGAAAATAAGGCAGGGGAGGGGTAGATGGCAGAACACCACAGTTCTGCTGTGGAACAATTACTGGAAGTCAGTGAGAGCTCAGCACCAATTCACAGGAGGGTGGGGCAGAGCAGCCAGACGAGAGCTTATTGCTTTTGCAGCTATTGGACACGTGGGTCACTACTGTGTCTTTTCCAGATATGCCAAGGGAACTTATTTAATCCAAGGGAATATATTTCATTATTTTCTTATTAGATTTTAGTACTAATATTTTCATTAAAGTAGTTTAGTTTCTTTTAAACTCGTACGTCTTCTTCTCTCTCATCCTCCCCTGCCTGAAGGGAGAGGTTGAGGAGAGCATCTGTCATTCATTTCACTGGCCCAAACCGCGACAGGAACCCAGACACGTCTGTCTTTGAGCAGCTTTCACTTGTCTAAGAGCAAAACTGCTCTAAGAGCATCCTTAGAAAGTTTAGAACAGAACATTGCTGGAGAGTATTATAAGAAATCAAAGAACTTACCGATGTGTGGGACCAATAAGAGTAGTCAAAGCTGAAGGACTTTGGTGCTTCCTTAGGATTCTTTGGGTTGATAATACCTACGGGAAATAAAATTCAAACTCTTAGCTATCTTACATTTAGGAGCATAATTAATGAGCTTGCCGACACTCAATCCATGAATCTGAGTATCCACAGAGTCGCCACGCTGCACACGAGCAGTAAGATGGAATTAATAGACTCACAGCTTCCTAACACGGTATTTCTGTAGACCTCATTTGAAATAATTCAAGGGAAAAAATTCCTAGAAGGAATGCTGCTGCTGAAGAAAATTCTTCTGTGGGACAAAAAGCCAGAAGTAGGTCATCCTGGTCCCTCGGCTTTTAGAATGGGACAGGCTTTTAGGAGCTGAGGGACATTAGCAAGAAGGAAGACCCAAACCACAGAGTTCACGAATCCCTGGTGCTTTCACGGCAGCAGGACTCAAGCCTATTTCGAACTACGCGTTACAGGGTACAAGGGCTCCCTGCAGAAGGATTTCCTTTAAGCAGCTCAGTATTTTCAGGGCATTGAAGAAGATATGAAAAAAGTTGGGATCTACAGACATTTCAGGGATTATCCACATAGTTTATTTCCATGTTCTTTTACACACACAAAGCCTACAGACTGATTCTTAATAGGACTGGTATTAATTGAACCAACCAAATTAGTGCTAAGTGTTCTTACTGTATATAGCCACTGAATCCCACAGTGACCTCCAACCAACCTGTGCACTTTTCCTGTTTGGAACTTCCACATAATATATGACCCTATGAGGAATTTCATACACACACAAAGAATAAAAAAAATGCTTGTGTACAGTTCCTATGTTCTGGCCTTTATAACTCCCATTCAAAAAGCTGATCTCTAATTGCCTTTTCAGTTCTTGCAATCCTTGATTTAACTTGCTTTCCAAGGAATTCATATATAAGAATCCTCAGGTAAGCTAAGTCACTCAGCACTTTACAAACACCAGAAATAAAACCACCACAGTTTGGCGGAAAAAAAAAAAAACAAACCAACAAAAACACACAAAAAAAATGCCACATTCTCTCTTCATGTCAGTACATCTGGAAATTTTATACCCTTTTCCTTTTCTCAGGTCCTCTAACTCTTTCAATATTTGACCCACACATGCGCATTCCCTGCAATTAATAAAAGATCATCCAGACACCTTTTAGGTTGTTTGGTTTGATTTTTTGTGCGGGGTTGTTTTTTGTTTGGTTTTTTTTTTTTTTCTTTCCCAGCAACAAAACAGCCTTCCTATAACCTCTGCCTGGAGGGGAGTAATATACAATGGATTCAGCTGTCATTTTAATGGCATACAGAACATCTGTATTTTCTGTATTCCAAGGAAGATACTTTATAAACACAGTGCTTGCTGCAGAAGTTGAGAGCTACTGCTTTCTTCTTTTCACTACTGCAGTGCTGGAAATACTTAAATCTATTCCTTCCAGCAGCTGTTTTCAACACCATCTGTGTAAGTAAGAATTCTGAAAAGGCATACTCTTGAGGGTATCCAAATTAGATAAACCACCTTAGATTTACACATACCCATCTGCACCTAAAGCAGCAATCTACCTTTGGCAGTGATCCACTAAATATGGTACGTGCAAACAAAATCTACAAAGAAAGAAGCTATACAAAGGTGGTGACAGTCTTCCTGGAGATGATTTACATCCTGATACCATTCATCCTAAACAAAGGATGCTTATTTCTCACGTATCCATTCCACTTAGGCTGTGCTTTGGGAGACAGGGGCTTCTCCCTTTCCTTCTGTGATAAATAAAAATCATAACTCCCACATCTCTTAGCATTTTAAACATGAACTTAACATCATGTTGTGCTGAAATCCCTGGAAATGTGGTTACAGAATCTACATTAAAATTAAATCACTCCTTTACCAGATGCTGTGTCCCTGAGCAGGGCTGTTGTCCAAAATCACAATGTGGAGAAAAGATCACTGCCTGGATTGCAAATAGCAACAGTTGCTACTCTATTTCTTGGGGCCAACTCCATTTCACTTGGATGCACCTTGTGCTGACATTCTTGCCTTATACAAGCTGACAGACATGCAAAGCCAATGAATAATATGCCTTGCACCAGTACAGGATCAAATGGCAAAAATGTTTGTGGCTTTGGATAGCAACACGGGCATCAACACATAACAAACTGGTAACCTAAGCAATCATATGGCTTTAGTTTCCCTTTACTGGTTTTGACCAAACAGCAGTACATCTACAGCACGTGCTATTAAACCACTTCTAAAGCTAAAGTGAAAAACTAACAAATCCCAGAAGACAACTCCCCTGCCCCAAACTTAAATGAGTTCTCTCTTTTCAGTGTAATCTAGACTGCTACAATTCAACAGCTTCTCATTTCTCATTTAATATTTAACATCAAAACTCCGAAAAGTAAGGAAGAACTAGTGCCTTGTACCAAGAAGCTCCTACCCAAAAAAGCCATATAAATATAAACCAATCTCCACATTAATCCAATATAACAACCTTTGGGGGTGAACAACATTATTTTCGTCAATTATTTGGGGCAATAAATTCAAGGAAAAGTAATCTAACCATTAAAAGCATAAAAAAGCAGCAATAAATAGAACCCATTCTTAAGTAACAGAACCTATTCCTGTGTACTATATAACACAATTCTAAGCAGATACATGAATAAATTTTATTGCCGCATCTTTCCTGACAATATACATTCTGTTGCTTAATCTCAAAAGCAAATGATTTTAACCTAGACTTGGATACTCCTCTTGTGAGAGGAGTCATGGCTGGAGAAAGAGAGGAGCAAACTACCTTTACTGGTACGTTGCATTTACAACATTGTCCTGGAAATGGGAAACTCCCAGTCTGGCAAACTGTGAAGGGAATCAAGACAGGCAGGAACCTGGCTACAGCTTTGCTGACCAAGAATCATGTTTTTACCCACAATCTAAAAACAAACATTAGTTACCTGAATGTTGCATTTACGCTAAGGCACAAATGCAATCATAAAAGAGAGGTTTGATCTCACTTGTTCATCTCATGGCATGATTGATTTGTCTCCTCTTAAAATCAACAGTGAAATAAGCAAGTATTCATCATTTTTATATTATTGTTTATAAACAAAAGGGACATTTCTCCTGGCCAAGGCAATGCTGCACTTGGTCCTTCCAAGGAATCAAGAGTTAAATTGCCTTCTAGGATTCTACTGCATCAGGAACAGAAAACAGAGTGAGCAGCACAAATTTCAGTATTATTCAAAACCAGGTTTGATGGGAAAACACACACTTCCCATTATTAGTCTTTAAAAAAACTAAAAATCTCTAGGAAATGTCCACCACTTCCAAAAAAGCAAGCAAAGAAGCCAGACTTTTAGTGAGAATAGCTAGTTTTTCCACTCAGCTCACTGTGCATAAAGGCGCATTGACCACCCGTGAAAGACAAGCTCTCTAGCTGTGCAACAGTGTAGTGTCTGGAAAGGCACTCCAAGCTTGACATTACAGCTTCACCCCACTTGCTTCAAGCTTAAATTTCATCCACCACATTTGTGAAGTGTGAAGTTCAGGCTCCATGATTTATACAACTGGTTCCACTCTGGCCTATTTTGCTTTAAAGCCATTTTTTTAAAATTATTATTTTCTTAGGCTTTCCTCGGCTCCTCCTAACTTCCACGTCCAGCTCACTATTTTGAGAACTATTTTCTCGGACGTGTGTTTTTCCAAAGCATATCTTGAGAAGCATATCAGGAAAGGGAGATTAACGTGCAAGCAGGCAGCTCTGTCAGCGGTTGGGAATGCAGCTGCCTGGCCAAAACCTTCCACCGCAACAGAAAGGGGTCAAAGAAAAGCTCCTGGCTGCCCGGAACTCCGCTTGCTGTCCCTCACCACGGCCATCCAGTCAAAAAGCCTTTTCACTCAGCTCCTAGTCCAAGCCTGAAGTCTGTGTATTCCCATTCCTGTTTCTTACACAGACTCTACAGCTTCCATTTACAGAATCACTGGCTTAACAGAGTTCTCAGTCTCTCTACAAATGAACAGAGCTGGTTGAGAAAATATAAGATTACAACCTCAGTGGATTTCGATCAGACTGAACCCTCTTCAGTTGGAATCCTGAGCACCAAGTGGGTAGCTACAAGCACCAGTCCTGTCTGGTACGGTCCGAGTTTCAGCCAAGTGATCAGATAAGCAATAATGTGAGATAAGAGACCTGAAAGAAGATGATGAGGCAGTTCAAAACCCAGGAATTCAAACTGAAGTAACTGACCTGACTTGAAGGTGTCTGTAGCACCGAGCATCTTCTTCGGAGGGACAAGCAAATCCCTGAAATCTAGCTACTTTTAAAAGGAAGCTAATGGATATTCCTGAAGAAATTAAAAGACATCTTATAGTACAGGTAAGCTTTATCCTAAGAATTCATATGCCAAATTGAAAAAGCAAGCATGATTATGCAGAAATGAGACTAAGTGGGCAACATTGATTTTCTGCACCATGTTACTCAGCAAGCTGTGTTTTCAGCTGAACAAGAAAACAAACAGAATTTAAAAAGTAAGAGGACTGTTTCCAGTATCTCTGGTACCCACAAGAACACTAAAAGCTTTTTGGTTATTTTGTTTGTTTTTTTAAACCATGCAAGGCCAAGATGAATTGTATTAGTGAATCATGAAATAGGTCATCATCTATCTCCTCTCACCACAACCGACTCATGGCATGGTAAGCAAGCTAATGGTTTAATTACAGAGCCTCAGGAAATGAGAAAGGCAATAAAGCAGACGATCACAGCAGGAACACATTAATGGCCTTTTTATCTTACAGAATAAATTTGTTTATCTGCTATTTCAAAGGTCCAATGTGGCAATTAACTCTTCTGTTTGCAAACCTACACTAAGGCTTTGTGCTGCAGCTATAATTAGTTACCATCAGCACGGCACCGGAGAACTTCCAGCGTTGGAGTCAGCCTCAGCGGCCACTTTCTGAGAAACTCAATCCCTTTTTCAGGCCCCTTGCTTCACCAAGAGCCAACTTCTTAGCTCATGTGGATTCTTTCAGCTTTCCACAAGTTAAGCTTTT